TCGATTGGCGCCCGCGAAAATTCAAAAATACAAAAATGAAGTATATTACCAAGTAACCCAGTGAGAACTGCTTGCCTATCATTTTAGTTGAAAATACAAGAAGTTTTATTCCAAGCAAGCATCGCAAGCCCGCTAGGTTAATTTCTGCTGCTTGCTTGGAATAAAATTTCTTGTATTTTATATTAAAATGATAGGCAAGCAATTCTGTTAAAAGCACTGGCACTGAACGTTTCGCTTCATGCAGTCTATTTTGGAATTTTTTAAAAATGATGTCAATCCCGAAAATCCCGGGATTAGGAAAACTTAATCCCGAAAAATTTGGGACTGAAAAGCGGTCGGGATCCCGATTTTCGAGATCCCGGGATCAAATCCTCTAGACATGATGCATTATCCTGTTAATAGAGGCCATCACCCGCTGGGAACATTGCTGCCATGAAGAGATGAACGTGGTCTGCAACTTCTAGGTGGAAGGTGATCATAATGGCTCATCGGTGTGTATACGGGAAAATCGTGTAGTTCCGGACAGCGGCTAGTATCAGACAAGCGTTGTTTCTAACATTTGCTGCAAGTGGCAGAACCTGTGAAGACACCAGCATATTGCGTGAATAAAGAAAGTTCAGATTCCACCATATTTAGTCAAGCAGAAGTGTTGTTGACACGAGGCAGAAAATTTTTTTTTGAGTGTTTTGAGTGAACGAAGATAACTTCTGGTTGTCATAGCTTGCCTGAAAATGAGAATAAAGTTCCATTTACCAAATTGTACTATTATCTAGTACACAAAAGAATAATTCTCCTTTCCTCTGACTTCTGGAGGCTTAAAAATTCAAAGTCCGTAGACTGGTATAAAAAACAAAAGGACCAACAGGTCAACTTTAAGAGAAAAAATAGTTTTTTATTTAACTTATTTTTTATACCTCAACCCAAATGCATTTCGCAGTTTTTGGCCTCTCCAGCAGAGTTTCTTACGACCAGAATATAATACAGGCTATCCATTAGAAGAGACATCATTAACACATGTTGTTAATTAATGATGTGTCTGTAATTTGTACTTTTATAAATTTCTCAATAGTAACTCTGCCTAATAATAAAAAGCTGTTTGTGAAACCAAAAATAATTTTCTTCTTGCAGATTTTTCTCATGTCCGATACAATCCTCCACAATTGAACTCGGTTGACAAAAATATAGTGACTGTAAAAAGTGTAAAAAAATGATTAATATTTTTATATTTAAAAAAATGAGTTTTAACAGGTGTTTATCAGGTGATTTAAGACAATGAAGTTTTTTATGGAATGTATCTGGACCAATTGAGCTGCGTAAAAATATTTTATAACTAGCTGTTACTCGCGGCTTTTGCAAGCAAACCCCATTTATATACAGTATTTCAACAACCATAGTAATTGTTATATAACACCTACCGCTGAGAATGATGAGAATTGCCGAGAATAAACGAACTATTTTCAATTTGATCAATTTTCTGGAACGTTTACAATCGTTCCATAATCGAACCGATATGCAATAACAAATTCGAATTTAAAACTGTTGGAACATTTTTAAAATCGAAATAGATTAAAATATTTATAACAATGTCTGAAATGTTATTAATTTAATAAACCTAAGTACTCGATGAAGACTAAATCCTCTCCGTCCTCAGCTCACCTCACCTCACCTCAATATAAATTATTATACAGGGTGTATCAGAATGACATTTTAAAAATTTGGGGGATTGTAGAGGATAAAATTTTGAACGTTTTGATATAAGGAATCCATAGCCGGAAATATGATATAAAGTTTCTACAGCGGTAGGAAGTGCTTGACCGCCCTTCACTTTGGTAGTTACCCTTCCGTCCATTGACGCCATGTTATTGTTCTTGACTTCTTCCTCTGAGGTTATGTAAAGTCCCTTGTGTACGCAACACCTGTAGGAACAGTTCATGAGCTTATGGAACGCATCTTTACAGCATTTAATACCATCACAGAGGAGCGTGGCATCTTACAGAGAGTCGGACAAAACATGGTTCGTCGTTGCACATTATGTAACGAAGTTGGTGGTCGTCACATTTAACATTTATTCTAAAGTAGTGCAGCCACTGATTCGATGTACAAATTGATTGTACTCTACTGTTTTGTCAATAAAACTTATCATAAATACTGTATTCTACTGTTTCATTCAGCATACCGACTGCAAAGTGCAAACTGCTGTAGAAACTTTATATCACATTTCCGGCTATGGGTTCCTGATATCAAAGCGATCAAAATTTCATCCTCTACAATTCCCCAAATTTTTAAAACGTTATTCTGATACACCCTGTATATCAGCAATCTTTAAGAATAAATTTTACAACAATAAGTTACGGTAATTTATTTTAAAAACAACTTATTTAATTTAATTAACTATAAACATATTAAAATTGTAACAGTATCTGTATTAGTTATAGTATATACAAGTAGGATTAGATTTAAATATATTTAAAAATTTATACATAATATGATTACATTTATTTATTTAATATTAACTTATTATCAATAATATTATCATTTTAATTAATTTCTATATATTTAAGTTTATATTACTGGGTATTTATTTAAATATAATTAAGAATGAATTTAAAATCACAAGAAATCTAACATCTGATTGTAATTCCTTAAAGTTTCTTTTCTCATATGATAGATATAAACCGTGCAAATAATTGTCGAATCTTACTAATTTTTTGTGTTTGTGTTATATTTTTAAAAATAATAGACTCATTATAAAAATTTGTTTTACCGAATTATTTAAAATGTTTTGCTACAAACCTATCCTCCGTTAACAGTGTGTTAAACAGAGATTTACATTGTGAAGTGTAAATGCTTCAAAATCAATAATCATCTCTGTATTATAAAATTAAGTTGTGATAATTTGCAATAATGTTTTTTTTTTTTAAATAAAACTATATAAAACTAATTCGCAATAGTAAAATAAAATATAAAAATAAACATCTTGATAATGGATAATATTATTTTCTTTATATTTCAAAAATTTAGTTTGTATAATTTATTAAAAATTTTCTTTTACTTACAAAACTATCGTTAACTAAAATTTTATAAATACTATATGTTCTGTGGTTAATGTCCAGATACGTGGACCGTCATGGCGGCACTTCCTGTTTCAGCCTCGAAACCAGACGGTTTGCAGACGACGTGTCACGTGACGCGCCGACGCACGTTCTAACCTAACCTAACCTATTCTAATAAATTAGCATAATTATTACCAATTATATTATTAGAATAGGTTAGGTTAGGTTAGAATGTGCGTCCCCACTATTTCCTTTTCTTTGCTGGAATCAGCGATGAGGCGCCATGACAGCCGCCGCCGTTCGCTCGCGTCGTCACGTGACACGTCGTCTGCAAACCGTCTGGTTTCGAGGCTGAAACAGGAAGTGCCGCCATGACGGTCCACGTATCTCGACATTAACCTGTTCTTTTTTCCAAAAATGACAGACTGATAAGTGTCTTATTTTAGAAAATATAGTACTGATAAGTTTTAGCATTACCTCTAAAAGACATTTTTTAAACATTTACACAGTTGTCTAAATGGTCGTTCGCTGCATCGAATTTTACCACCTCTTTAAATAATGTTTCTGATTATGAAGACTGAATAAGGCTATTGTCTAATGTATTTTAAATGCACTGTGTCCTGTGTACATCCGTTTCTACTCACCGATTCAACACAACTGGGATGCCTACGTTCGAGTTTGCATAGTGTTTTGAATAACACTAAGTTTTTTCAGAGTTTTTCTGATTTTATTTGTGTTATTTATTAATTTCTTTCAATACGAAACATTCAACAATTAAATTCATTTGTTTTTCGTGGGACACCTCTTTAATTACGTAAATTTCTGTACAAAAGATATATACCATTGGAATTATAATCTCGATTAACATTTTCTAACGAAATTCATAAACAAAACTGTATTCAATTATTTCAATTAAAGCCGAGTACTGTTCCTTAATACTTTAAAATTCAGTTTATTTCGGGAATAAATCATTGTAAATATTTCTAAAAATAGTATCTCAAAATACGTCCGGTTACGTTTCACTAATGTTTGTCGTAGATGAATTTAAACTATTGGCATCACTTGTGGCATTATTCGTTGTTTAGAGTTCTGTTCGACCGTTAACTGAAGTTCGTCAGTAGTCTTCTCAATAGATTGCTGTTCCTCTACACACATTTTAATTTCCTTATCGTTACATTGCGAAAGATCTCGTGAAATAAATCACGTAATTCAACTATAAGTTTATAAATTTGGTTTGGAACAGTTCTATTTGTCTATCGTCTGCTACATCAATACCAGCACCTACCCTTTCCTTAAGCTTTGTAGTGTTGTAGTTAAGGACTTTCTTTTTTGTTAACGCAAACTTAAGAATAATAAAAGGCCAACTTACTTTCTCGAGCGTAGTGAATCCTGTTTCTGCGGAGTTAATCCAGAAAATGTCAACACCAATCCAATCAAAGTTTTCAATCCAGCAGAAATCTGTTGCACTATCCAGTACACCATCCGCCTCCACGGACCAAATGTTTACGTTGAGAATGGACTATATATGATATCAGAATAATTGTGCAACAAAACGATATTTATTCAGTTAAACTTAAATCACTCAGGCAATACGGTTTGGATCCCTCTTGAATCCGGTACACTAAACAAAATGGCGACAACGACAGACGAATCACCGAAAAGCGCGCGAAAAAGCGCCCTCTCACAATAAAAACAAAATTAAAAATTCTCCGAATAATAATAATAATTAATAATTTACACAATACGACTGTATTTACGTAACACATTACATAATTCGTTTTAGTTGTTAAAGTGTAATTTTACGATTGATATAGTTATTTAAAACTTGTACGAAAATTTAAAAAATCTTTATCCTGCTATCGAAATATTAATTTTTCATTCTGCTGTTCTCATTAAGTAAGTTCTAAAATACGTTTAACGTAACGTGGAATTTTATGTCGTTGGCCATTTTTCTTGCTTTATTTCACCATATTTCCGGCAGTTAGCGTTTGTGTTCTGTCTCAAAGACAAACGGTTCCGTCACTTCCGGCACATCTCACCCGATTGACGACGAGATTTTGCACAAAACTGCCTTCGGTTCTGGACGTCACTTCTTACCTTTCTGCCCGAACATGCCGCCCGACTTCACGAAATCGCTAGATGCACGAGACATCCATGGGACGAAAGTTCGACATTCTGCTTTTTTCCCGAAGAGTGATTTGCGATTCGATTTTACGACGTTTGTCGACTAAGTTTTTTATTGCAACTTTCATAAATATATCAGCAAGTGGCGTATTTGGCGCTACGAGCTGCGACCCTTCTATATACTGTATGTATATAGTACAGTAGACCCCTATAAAACGGGTTCCTATAATTACGATTCCTATAAGACAGCGAAAAAATTGCGACAGTATTCGTAAAAAACGGTAAAAAACTCCTATAATTAGGTAAAACGTCATCGGGCAACCGAACTATTTTCCTCCGTTTAGCGCCACGCTACGGAGAGATTACTATCGTCTGTAGAGTATTATATATAAATTAGGTACTGTACATATAATTATATATGAATTATATATAAATTAGGTACTGTATATATAATTATATATTAACTTAATTTATTGTAACTTTATTATAATTATATATATGCTTTCCGCCGTCTAGCGCTACGCTACGGAGAGTTTAGGCGAACTATCGTCTGTACAGTATGTAAATTAGCTACCGTAAGTCTAATACAGTACTGTAATTTTATACATTTCGTGTGAAAGAAACATTCCTTATTCAACGGCGATTAAAATCTATATATATAAAAATGAATGTATGGTTGTCTGTCTGTGTGTGTGTGTGTCATTCATGCATTACCACACCGTTTATCCGGTTGGCGTGAAACTTTGGGAAGTTGTTTAATATACTCCAGCGAAGGTTTGTGGCATAGTACGATTGCCATGAAGCTTTGAAAAGTTTTTTAATTTTTGAATACACTCCCGCGAAGTACATTTATCCTACGATAGATGGCGCGCGTTTACACGAGCATTCGCGCACAGTGTGTTCGATCGATTTCAAATTGTAAAGACCATTGTCCCCCTTCAAAAAATATCTGTATATATGCATTTGTAAACTGTTATTTACGATATTTATAATAATTTTTTTT